CTTCGGCCCGACGTCCCCCCCCTCGACTTAGTCGAGTAACGACATAGTCGAGTAACCGTGCACTCTCGGATCACGATGCGTTAGGGAACGTGATGTTCATGACCGGAGATTTGATGTTCATGATCTTGTCACGAAGCTCGAAGAACCGTTTGGGCTTGAGCGGCTTCGTGAAGAAGTCGGCGAGGTTGGCGTCGCTACGCACGAAGGGGACGCAGAGGCGGTGCGCCTCGATGGCCTCGCGGATGTAGAAGTGGCGTCGCTCGACGTGCTTGAGCTTGCCATGGTGCTCCGGGTTGTAGGCGGAGGCGATGGCGGCCTGGTTGTCGACGTAAAGCTTCGTCGGCGGGCGCGGGGAGCCATCGGGGAGCGCGTCGACCTCCTCCTGCAGACGCCGGTACTGCTCGACGTCCTTGGTCGCCTCCGAGGCGGACATGATCTCGGCCTGGCAGGAAGAGAGGGAGACGGTGGGTTGCTGTTGAACCCTCCAGTCAAGCGTGGCGCCCCACAGGCGGACGAGCCAGCCAGACGTGGATCGACGGGCCGACCAGTCGGCGTCGCTGAAGGCGTGGAGCTCGTCGTCGGCGGCCGACTCGCCCCGACCGTTGTAGGTAAGACCAAGGTCAGGGTACTCGCGGAGGTAGCACAGGACGCAGTACACCTCCTCGAACAGAGCGGGTGTGGGCTTCGCCATGGCCCGGCAGAGGAGGCCGACGGGGAGCGCGATGTCGGGGCGCGTGTTCGAGACGAGGTAGAGAAGAGCCCCGAGGCAGCTCTGGAAGAGGCGGACGACGCGCAGCTCCCTCTCGCTGGTGTCGTCGGTGGCCGCTTGAACTCGCTCTGCGATGCTGAGGGTGAACGGCGTGTTGTTGGAGTGACGGGCGCCCGGCTCGGCGGGGTTCGGGAGCTCGGCGATGATCTGGTCGAGGTACTCGTCGAGGAGCTTGCGCACGTACGGCCCCTGCCCGACGTGAACACCGCCCTCGGCGAGTGGGGTGACCTGGACGTTGAGGATGTCGGAGAGCGGGCCCTCGTCCTCAGATTTCCACGAGGCGTCGATGTCGCGAACGAACTGCGCGTAGAGCGAGTCGGAGACAAGAGCCCCCTCGGCGTCGTACTCGGGGTCGCGCTTGTAGAAGATGATGAGATCGTCGACGTAGACTCCGATGATGAGCTCGTCGTCCTCAGTGGTGATGCGGTAGATGCAAGGGTCCTCCTTGGACGGGATGAGGCCGGCGCCTCCTTCGTCGCGGGGACGCTCGAGCCAAGCAAAGAAAGCGCGCTGGAAGCGCCGCCCCGCCTGCTTCATGCCGTAGAGGGGCTTGAGGATGAGGCAGAGCTTGGGCTTGCCGTTCTCGTCGAGAGCGTTGGCGTGGCCGGCGGGCTGATGCATGAAGGCGATCTCGCCGTCCTCGAGAACTCCCTGGAGGAAGGCGGCGACAAGGTCGCGCCTACGAGCCTTGAGCCCGCGGCGGGCAGCAATGTTGAGAAGGAGGCGAAGGGAGGGCATGCGCAGGGTGGAGCAGAACGTCTGGTTGTAGTTCTCGCCGAACCTCTGGCTGGACCCGTCGAGACAGCAGCGGGCTTTGTGTTTGCCATTTCGCTTGGTCTTGTAGACCCAAGTGGCACGAGTGGTAGTGAACTCTTTGCCGTGCTGCAGGGCGATTCGTCGGGCCTCGGCGTAGGTGACGTAGCACCATGTGGAGCCGGCCTCGACGCACTCCTCCATGGTGCACTGGCCACGGATGAAGCGCTCGACAAAGCGGGGATCGTCTGCTTTCCCGCTATGGTTGCCAAGCTCCTCGAGCTCGGCGGTGAACCAGGCTGCGTCGCCTCGTTGCGCGTCCTGTCGCATGGCTTGCCCGTGGCCGGATGGATCGCGCGGTCCGGCAGAGGTACGTGCAGCCAAGATGTGGAGCCCGGGTCGGGGGTGGCCAAATTTCACGATGGCACCAGAGGCAGGTGTGAGGCCTCTGTCGAGGGCGGCGTTGACAGGAAAGTCACTGTCGGAGCAATGTCTGAGCCTCCCGGGAGTACTCGAGGCATCGCCGACAGAGGGGTCGGGGGTGGAGCCGGCACGGCGTCCGACGACCCCGTGGTGCTCAGCGACGCTGGTGCATCGACTTCCGTTGCGTTGAGCGGGAAGCGGTACACTCCTGTCCCCGTTGGCAACGGCGGCAGGCACGCAGATGCGTCGCGCGGGGCGGAGGTCGTCGCCCGTAACGAAAGTGCTCGAGTCGAGTCGCTCGACGGCGTGAGCGACAGCGATGATCCGCGCCTCGGCGACGCTGCTGCGTACAGCGCGCTCGGCTTGCCCTTGGATGGGTAGGGGCTTAGGAGGCTGGCGGGGTGCGGTGGGTGCCGTCTCGTAGGTGACCTCGTCGGCGGGAGGGAGTCGTACAGCAAGCTGGTTCCACGGGCCGGCAACGGCCGAAACGTGCGATCGTGGCGCGATGTGCGTGGGCTCCCTCCAATCGTGGGCGAGGATGAGGCGCGCGCGCTCAGTGAAGTGTGGCGGGTTTGCGTGGTGCTGGCTGGCAATGGCGTAGGCGATGATGGCGTTCAGTCGCGGCGGCCAGGCGGAGTGCTCCTTGGAGCGCCAATTGCCCTCGGTGTCCCTCCCGGAGGCGCGCTTGGCGTGGTCGATGTGTGGGCACTCGAGACGGTCGAGCTGCCGCAGGACCTTCCCAACATCCCCGAGGTAAGCGATGGTGGTGTACTTCTGGATGTGGGCAGAGAGGACGCACTGGGCGAAGGTGACGAAACGAAGTCCCCGGGCGGCGAGCTTCCGAAACTCGGACGTGATGAACGGGGCGTCCGAGCGAGCTCCTCGTAGGCCCGCTCCTGGAGGTCGGGGTCGGCACCGGAGACCTTGGAGTAGAGGGCAACGAGGAGGGTGGTTGCGGTTGCAAGCCCAGGAAGCCCGTCGACGATGCGCATGATCTCCTCGCGGGGCCGCTCGCCGACGACGATCTTGTCGAGGAGGACCTAGTAGACGGCGTTGTTGATCGCAGCGAGGGCGCGCTTGTCCACGTGTGAGACGGAGATGAACCGGTTGAGCTCGGCGTCGTCCACCAGGGTGCGGGTGACGGTGGTAGCGGGGCCCCCAAACTGCTGGGGCAACTTGATCTTGTCGGCGAAGGCGAGCTCAACGTACTCGGACATGCTCGTGCGACGCTCCGGGGCGTCCGACTGCTGGTACAGCTTGATCAGCGCGTCGGTGTCGCTCGCGATGACCTTGCTTGAGAGGGGTTCGATATAAACGGTGCCCCCTGATGCGATGAGAATGAAGATGCCGGTCCGCGTCCTCTGGTCGCTGGAGGTGCTGACCTTGAGGAGGGTGCCGGCATAGGCGAGCGTGCCGGCGCCCGCCTCGACGTTGTTGCGCTTGAGCCACTTTGTGGCTTCTTCAGAAGCGGCTTTTGAGATGACTGCGACATCTTTGGCGGGGACCTCTCCGAGGCTCCCCGCCAGCGAGTCGCCGGCCATATCTGGGATAGCGTGAAGGGACTCCCCCAAAGTGCTGGTCGTGACCAGTTGACGCTGCCACGTCCGGCCGTGCCCCGCGGGGGCGCGGTCGGCACCAGAAGGGGGTCGATACGTTCTCTAGAGACGACGTAGTCGTGGACGGCCGCAATCACAGTGGACGGACACGACGAGACGAGTGTGAAAGCACGGAGGCAACAAAACACACTAGGGTTCGGGAGAAGGCTAGGGTTAGGGAGAGAGTGCCTGACGGGCTTCGGCCCGACGCCGACATGCGCTGATTTTGACCGCGCAAGATAAAAGGGTGGCTAAGGGCTCTGCCCGCAAGGCGCCCGCGTCGCAGACGCGGTACCATTGACAAATCTGCGATATACCCCCACATGAGCAAATAGCCAAAATCCGAATACCGTGCACGAATCGGGCGATGTGGGCCGTGCAAGCCTTCAGCTGGTGCCAAGACATTCGTAAAATTGAAGCCAAGAATCCGCCAAATCCGTGCTTTCGCGCTACCTGAGGGGAAAGCCGCTGATCGAGCCCAGCGTGCCCGCGGCCGCCTCCCGCGCAGCACCGCCGCTGCGGAATCGGATCGATCCCATGGAGGAGGGCGCAGTCGGCTAGCGCAGCAGGCGGAGTCCCTCCCCGCGCCGGAGCCCCCCTGCAGTCGAGGGAGTCCTCGTTGGCGATGAAGGTGGCGACATCGAATCGCGGCCGACACACGTCACGGGAGGAATGGGCGATGAGCGGGAACGATGCGCGCTACGGCGCCGACTCCGCCGTGCTCGTGGCCGCAGAAAGCCGCGCTCCAGGAGCACGCCAAGATGCAATGGCTCGCTTGCTTCGATTCAGCTCTCTCGGCAGCAGAAGTGGGGCTGGAGCGGGTGGGGGTGGATGCCGATTGAGGGGGAGCGTCTCCAGCTGCGCCCTGTGGCAGCTGCGCCCTGTGGCATAGTCGAGGGACTTGGTAGTTGTGACCCCCCTGAGTGAGGACAGGAGAGATTTTGTGGTGTTTGTTGGTGTACGCAATAACGGGACAGGGTGGTTGTTCTCTCTATCTCCTCTTCTAGCTCTTAGCATGAGCTGCGCCCGGTGTCCGACCCCTTTTGCGCAGCAACACCTTAAACTTTTAGGCCCTCCAAATTCGGGTCGGAGCGTAGCGGAGTGGGCCCCGAGTTTGAAAAGGGCGACGGACGCTTGCGTCCTAGCCTCCAACAACGCCTCCCCGGCGCAGAGGGGCCCCCGGAGGGATGCACAACCGCTCCACGCCACGCCGCTCGCGGCGGTCCGCTTCCAGCTCCGCTCACCGGGCGTTATCTTTTCTACACTCTCTCGTGCCATGGTGAGCCAGCTTCACGTGCTGTGTGCGCCGGGGTGGGGTGTTGAGGGCGCTGTGCCTCAGGGCGGCACCCCCGCCGTGCACGCTCTCGTCGCGGGTCCTCCGCTGGCACCGCACTCGAACCCACCGAGAGGGCGCGCTCCCTGCTGCAGCGCTCTGAGCGCCGCCGCTGTCCCTCCCGCAGCCCAAGCAAATCAACGAGATCAAGGACTTCCTGCTCACCGCGAGGAGGAAGGACGCCAAATGTGTGTGCCGCCCCGCTGCACACTCCACAGTAGGGACGGCGGCGCTGCGGCGACTCTCTGGCGGCGCGCTGCGCAGAGCAGCGGCAGGAGCGGCGGCCAGGGGAGCCGGCAGCCAGCGGAGGGATGCGCGATGCGGCTGTAGCGCTGCAGTGTGTGTGTGTGTGGCCGACGCGCGGCCGTGGGAGGGGAGGCGGCGTGCGCCGGCGTCGCGCACGCAGTGCCCGACAGACAGCTTCCTGCGCGGCCCTTGCTCGCCTCGGCCTCACCCGCCGCTCGTCCGCCGCGCGCAGCCGTCAAGATTAAGAAGTCGAAGGACGTTGTGAAGTTCAAGGTGCGTTGCTCCAAATACCTGTACACCCTGTGCGTGAAGGACCTGGAGAAGGCCGACAAGCTAAAGCAGTCGCTGCCGCCTGGCTTGACTGTCAAGGACATCTGATGTCCCCACCACCATCGGCGAGTTAGAGCAGCAGCAGCAACAGCGGGGGAGAGGTTGGCAGATGCATGTCTGATTGGCGGGATGGCGCCATCGCGGAGGGCGGCCCGCGTATGTACGTGACGAGTTCAGCAGTGTGCGGCAACGAGCCTGACGGGAGCCTGACGCCCCCTGCACAGACGAGACGCAGTCGCCGCAGAGACGAGAGAGACCGTTTGACCACACCCTGTACTAAAATATCTAAAACGAAGCACACTAAATTCTCCGCAGGCCCGTAGCCTCGCTTGGAGCACGCGATGGTACACGCAGCGCGCTGCGGTGCGCTGAGCTCTAGCGGTGCCGCGCCGCGTCCGGCTCCTCCGCGGGCGCTGGGGCGGTGGCGCGTGGCGTGGCGGGGCCGCGCGCCCCCGCCCGCGCTGCCGCGCCCGCCCGCGTGCGCCCGCCCCGCCCGAGCGGCAGCGCGTGCGGGCGCGCGCACTCGGCCCGCGGTCTGACGCTCGCGCGCTCCCTCCTTCTCTCACTCATCGCGCGGTCGCACCCTCATGTGGCTCTCAGGGCGCACCATCGAGCCGCGACTCTCTGCCACACTACGCAGCAGCCCTCACTCCTGCGCCCAGAAGCTCGCCGACCACGCGCACGCACGCGACCGCTCGGTTGGCGTCGAAGACGTCGCGCCCGTCCCCCGTCTTGCACCGCAGCGACGACTCCATGTCCACCCAGAGCGGCCTCCCGTCCGCGACTTGCCCGATGGCCGTCAGCTGAGACTTGAGGTTCGACGGCGAGAGGCCGCCGGCGTAGCCGCACTGCACGCCCTCGCGCGGCGGCTGCCACGCCGTGCACGAGACGCCGAGCCCCATCGAGTCGTCGTAGAGCAGCGACAGGTTCGGCGGCGCCTCAGACAGAGTCCCACTGCACCGAGCCGCACCGGCGCGGCCCCAGATGCGCTCCCAAAGAGGGCGCGTCTGCACGTTGCACTGCAGAATAAATTCAAGGTGAGGGCACGCGGCGCACACTGCGGCGATCGCCGCTGTGCACGCGTCGGCGCCCTCGGGAGTCGCAAAGGCGCCCACGTCCACCCCGTTGGCGGCCGTCGCGTTGATCTGGAAGCGGCCAAAGCCAACCTGCTTTGCGACGGCGCTCACAAAGGTGGCATCGCCGCGCAGCAGCTCATCGACGCGCGACGCGCACAGGTGGCCGGCCAGCCGCATCGGCCGCCCGGAGCCGTCGGCGGCGGCGGTGTTGGCCTCGGCGAGTGCCGCCAGCCAGCCCTCCGAGGCATACCTCGGCGTGCCCGCCAGCTCGGGCCGGAAGAGCACGCCCCACTCGACCCACGGGTGGGCCAGCGAGACGGCACGGAGCAGCAGAGGCTCCACGGAGTCGTCCACGCCGCAGAAGCCCACGCAGCGAAGGGAGAGGGCTTTGGCTGCCATGTAAACCGCGGCCAAATACTTTTTTTTGGAAGTGGGTGACGCCGCAGGCGCGCCAACAGTCTTTCTCTTAACGATCAAAATAAGCCAGCGGCAGTCCCCTCTTACCCTCGGCCCGAAGGGGGGCGCCCACGCCGCCCAGACGGGCCCCTCCACCCTTCACGGATCATGTAGTCCCCACAATCGCTGTAGTGGGATCGCTTGTCGCGGAAGGTATTCTTTGTTTTTTTGAGCTTAGCCTTCGATGTTATGAAACAACGCAAGGCGGACAGGGCATATCGCTCTCGGGCCCACAGACATCCCTCACACCCGCGCACACCCGCCGCCCCCGCGCGCGCGCCCCACCCCGGCCGGGAGAAAGGGGAGTGACAGTTTGGGACTCGCAAGCCCGAGTATGTTGAGTCCTGGCTCAACAACGCAGGGTTCAAGAGGGGGTGGTCCGGCTCACAAGTCCGGCTCACGCGCCTCGAGCTCGCCATCTACCGCACTGATGTTTTTTTAGCCGCTTTCTCTTGGCGCGCAAGGGTCGGTCCAGAGGCGGTCATTGGGAAGAACATGTCCAATCCCTCCGCGTCCTTCCGCCCGATACAGGGCGGCAAGATCCGAGGCCACCTCCTCACCAAGACGTACGCCAAGGCCGGCGGGGGTTTGCGGGGCTGGTGCATCGCAGTCTGCGTCGACGGCAAGATTGTGCGGCCCGTGAAGCCGAGGCATCTCGGGCAGGCGGCGCCCTTTTGGAGCGACGAGGTGGAGAAGCTCGAGCTTGGCATGTGCATCGAGTTCACCGTCGACGAAAACGCCCGCAAGGCCGAGTTCCCGCACGCGTCCGAGGACGTGCAGGCAAGCGCGCGCGCGCGCGCTCAGGATGTGCTTCGCTACCCACCAGACCGCGCCCTCGCCTGCAGGTGCTCGGTGGCCATCTGGTGAAGCTGCCCGGCGTGCCGGCCCAGGGCATGCAAAAGATGTTTCAGCAGGTTGCGGTGCACAGTCTGGTGAAGGGCGCAAAGCCGCCGTGGCCGCGCGAGTTTTGGCACGAGTTTGGCGGGAAGGACGGGAGCCGCTTCACCATGAAGGATGGCGCCAAGGTGCCGTCCCTCGTCGTCGTCCGCGGGCGGGTGGACTGGTTCGAGAACGAAGACGGCAGGGCTCGCGCGGACGTGACCACGGACTGCGGCACTTCCCTCAAGACCAAGGCACGCACCCGCCCGCGGGCGCCGCTGCGGTGTGGCGCCTTGGCGCCTTCCTTCTGGGCTGGGCGCGTTCCCGTCCGGGCTCCGTCTGTGGGCTTCTTTGGCGTGTGCTGGTGCCTCTCCCCCGTG